TTAGTTTTGCATATTTCAAGCCATCTTTCAGCACTGTATTATAGTCAAGAATCTAAATGTACTTTTCTGAACTTCTGAATATTTTAAACTCGGTTTTCATACCAAGTAGGAATAAAGAGTTGAAATAATCCAATTCTGCATTAAATGGAAAATGCTAAAACCTTTGACAGGAAGATATTAAACCATCTTGTTTCTACACATTTGATTTAGAAAAAAGTTGTCAGCATTCTTAAACTGAACTTGTTTATTTTACTTTGGTGACTTTGCTTCATACACTGGGTAAACTGAAGGTCTCCCATTAACCTTCTATTTCCACCTCCAAGGTTATTTCTTACTGATTTGATCTGGCGATCAGTTTGCCTGTACCTGTGCTTTTCAGTGAAGCAGTCAGAAGAAAAGCAGCCCTTACTTTGTAAAGAACATTGTATCTGTCTCCTACCCTGCAAGTTTTGTTCAGGCCATGTTGCTTGGTGTACATCTCTGCACAGGGGACAGGCTGAGGAAAATTTCCTGCAACCTTCTGGCCAACTGCACTAGCGACCTTGGACTCTGTGAAATGTTAACGTAGACAGGGGAGAAAATTTCTAAGGAAGCATGTTGCATACTGCAAGAAATATACTGTAACTCTTTGTCCTTTTTAACAAGTTTGGATAAGGTTTGTAGCTAGTTCCACTGGGCTATTCCACCCCTGCATTTGTGTAAAAGGAGAAAAAAGATTTTAGCAAAATGAAGAAAGCTGTAGTGTGGGTGGACCCCAGTGCACTCAACCTAAGAGCAATCCCAGTTCTGATGTATGATAATTGAGTACAAAATTATGCTGATTTCATTTTGGTGTTTCTGAGTGTAGTCTTAATTCCTTGGCATGGAATTTATTTATTTTTAAAAGACAGAAATCAAATTAACACATTTGTGTATGTGTAAGTAGGCCAAGGCTTCAAGTTTTTATCATGTATGTCTTGAACTAGCTTATTTCCAGATAAATTACTTTTTCTAGTATTCTTTTGTCTAGTGATCATCTCTATTTGGAGTAGATTTAGACTCAATTTTAGTGGAAGAACAAAAGCTCTTTTCCTGCACTAACAAGCGTTTTATTTTTTCACTTTTGTTCTATTACAATTAATGAAAAAAAGAAAACCAAAACCAGTTCTTAAGATGCAGTGATGCTGAATTATGGTTCAAGTTGATAATTTTTGCAAGATGTGCAGATGAGCAGCGATGAAATTATTATTTAGATTTGAAAGCTTAAAGATCAGGGTTTCCCCCCCACAAACCACATGGCACAGTGGCACTGAGGAACCACAAAAATTCTGCTCTTAGGAGCAATATTCCTTTCACCTAGCTGTAAGTAGCTAAAAGATACTGCCCCTGGTGTTGTCAAGACCTCCACTGCTCCTGGGGTAAGTTTGGCATGCCTAGCTCCCAGTGTGTTCAGAGCAAACTCAGTTGTCATTGTTCAATAGCTCCTGTATCCTGTAGCCCTTCTATTACAGGATATTGTTATCTGCCTTCTTTTTGCTTTAGAGAAGATGCATTGTCACTGTTGTCATAGAGTCAGGCTTTGAAATAGATTTCACAGAGTCTTTACGTGTCAAGATGAAGGCTGCAAATTATCTTCACAAGGAGACAAGTGAAGTTTTAAATATTAATATTGGAAGTTTGTTCTGAGTTGCCTATGCATCAGAAGTTTAGTTTTTGTTAGGGTTGGAATTATCTCACTGGTAAAAATATGGCACATATTTTGAAGAAGACATTTATTTAGAAAGCTTTCTGTAGGATCTGTGCTTTACTGAAATGTCTTTCTAGCTATACTTTCCCAGTTAATGATGTGTAATGATGACTGAAAAACTAAAATATATGCTTATACAGCTTCCTGTTCTCGAGCATATTGACCTTCATTTGCAGAGTGATTGAGGCAAATTATTTGTGGGTTCGTTTGAGTTACTTGAGAATGTTTAGCATTAAAAAGGATCCCACTACAAGATGAGGGCCAGACAGATTTAGCCAGGTAAGAGCTTGTGAATAGAAAAAAGTCTAATTCTGAGGTGCAATGAAGAAGTTTCTATTTAATTTTTGACCATTGGGTCAGGTGACTCAGAAACAAACAATGATACATCAGGAAGGAAAATTATTATATCAGGCAGCAGCATGTGTTTCCCAGATTAGGCTTCTTGAGCAAAATTAGATTAAGATTTTCTTTCATCATTATAATTAAAATATTCTGCCCTTTTCATTGTCTTAGGTCATTGTTGATGAATGACAGAGGAGTGCCTTAACTGCTGCTTCCCAAATATAATTAAGTTTGATGGTTTTCAGTGGAAGAGGTTATATATTTGCTGAATTTAAAGCAGCTGTAACAGAAACAGCAACTGCATATTTTGAAAGTTAAACTGTGCTCCTGCATATATTAGATTGGATAGGTTTGAATCTTTAAATTAGACTTATTTTTTTTAAATTTCCCTTCATTTTTTAGAGCTCTTATGTTTAAGATTTAAGATAACCGCAAACCACAAGTAACTTCTTAGATTTCCATGCAAGAGGTCAACTGTATCTAATTAGTGGACTGCTGTTGAGTGTGTGTTCAGAACATTCCTGCTCACTTAGGACGTAATCTTTGCTCACTGAGTTATCCAGGCAGTTCCCAATAATGCTGGCTGCAGAGTGAGCTGCCTTTTGCACAGACAGAATTGATGCCCAACACAGAACATTAATATGAGCTTGATATAAAGGGTAAAAAAGTGTAACTTTTCAGTGCAGACACCTTAGAGTTCACTTTGCTAATCAAAACCAGAGGACTCTCCCAGAGCTTCAGTCTCTCTCAGAGTTAGATTTTATGCTATTTAGATTCAATCCTGTCCATGAAGAAAGTTTAGGAAAGCATATGTAAAACTTAACAGTTACTTCCATGTACTCTCAAAAGACTGACTACTGACAGCACTGGGCATTTAACATTTGCACTCATGTGTTCTTGAGCAAGCAGTAATGGCATCTCTCCACCTGTAATGCTATGTTTGAGAAGTGTGGCCTGTGTTTGTAGCAATCCTTATTATATTGCAAATTTACCTTTAGCATGCGTCCTTATGTACAAATTGTTTTCTGTACTTTGTCCAAGTGTAATGTACATTATTCACTCCATGGTTCTAGCAACGTTCTCACAAGCTTACTCTGCATGTGTGGAATTTATCACCAAATATGATCAGCAAAAATATTTACTTGAATTTCAGTGAATTCCTATTCACTTAAGGGCAAAATAAGACAAGTTTTATTACTTGTCTTATTATAAGACAAGATAAGATAAGTTTACCAACGGAATTTGGAAGGAGTTGATACAAACCTTCAGTTACTATGTGGATAAACAATGTAGGGACAGATGCCATTTCACAGACAACGGCTGACAAGCATAAATATGCTTGGCAATTTTCTATTAATAGCCTTTTCTATTTAATTAATTAAACACCATGTCAGATGAATATTGGTTCTTCTGTTACATTTTGCTCATTGCTTAATTCTGAACAATAGACTCAGTTTTCACACCTTGCTAATAATACCTACTCTGTGTTTACTTTTTGGTTTGGACAATGACACTGGATTTGTATCCCTTAGGTTGTTAATATGTGATCTATAAAAGCATGGAACATGAGAACCTCTAGACACTCTATGCATAAGTAGCTTTTTCATGAGCAGTCAAGCGAAATGATTTTGTTTTCTTTTTTTTTTTTTTTTTTTTGTATGGATATTTGTTCTTTTTCCCATGTACACCCCTGGTGACCCCAAATGCTGTTCCCTTTCCTGGATCTACATAACTCCCTTATTGGTCCAATTTAAGCACAGCTGTGCCCAATGCTGGTTTGCTATTAGCTAATGTGGGACATTAGCAAATTAGGACTTTAGAGGAAAAAGGGGCATGACAGTATTTTTTTCTGTTATTCTGTTTCCACAGTACAGCCCAGCCACAAATTTTAATGAAGTTTTTGGGAATCTATTAGGGGTATAGAAGTGATATACAAAAATATTTTAAACTTTGAATAATAAAAGAGTATAAATGACCCTGTCACTCAGAGTTGTTCATATGGAGCATTTTGGTTATTTAAGAAAAAAGAAAGTATAGTTGTAATTGATTTCATCATCATTTCATTGAACATTTTGAGAAGTTCGATATTCAAAGAAAGAAAGAAAGGTAGAAATTATCAAATCTGTAAACTTCAATAATGAAATGGGAAAAACTGGCCTTGTAAGCCAGTGGCTCTACTTAAATATTCTCCTTTATCCAGTGAAAGAGTTTTCCGTTCGTAGTTCATAGGAAAGTAAACCTTTGAGTTGGGCTCAATTTATAAAATTTATGTTCCAAATTAGCCTAAAAAGTGATCTGGAAAACTGAGCCAATGTAAAAATAAATACATTAAAAAAATCAGAAAATTGATTTTAAATATTTTTTTTACCTACTCCATTATTACCTATAAAGAAATCCTAGGTTTTTGGCTCTGCTGTGTCCAGGAATTGCATCATGCTGTATTTTTTCCCCCTTCTCAAAACAAAAGAAGGAATTTTAGCTTTGAACTTAAAAGCTCTTCTTTGTCTTGCAAATTCTATTTGAGAACTCTATCTGTCCCCTAAAAGCCTGTATGTGTCTATTTTGCTTTTATATGTGGTACAATACCATTAAAACAATCAAAACATGAAGTTTAATATCCAACAATGGTTTTTGACAAGTTTTTTTAGGTACTTTAACTAAATCTAACTTTAACTAAGTTGTTCTGCATTGCTGTTTATTTCTCAAGAGTCCTTGAATACATATATTTTCTACTGTTTGTCATGAATAAATTACTTGCAGTTTTAGCCTGTTCAATAAAATTACAGAATATAAATTAAAGAAAGAAATAGAAAGAGATGACATGTCATTCTGAGAGACTGATCTAGGATTTCTTGGAGATTTACTTTAGGAAATAATTATGTATTTATTTTTTCTCTCTATTTTTAAATTTGTTTTTTATTTCTCTTTTCAGATGGAAGATGTCATAGCCCGCATGCAAGATGAGAAAAATGGGATTCCTATTCGGACAGTGAAAAGTTTTCTTTCCAAGATTCCCAGTGTCTTTTCTGGTAAGAGTCAAAGTGAATTTCATACTACTTTAAAGTTTTATGTAAGGGGATGCTCCAGTGGAAAACACTTTTAAATAAGTACTGTCAAGAATTCAGTCATCTGATCTGGAGGAGACATTATTTATCCTTTGAATAGTTTAATTATACAAGTCTTTGATGTTTCTCTCAGATTGGAGTGGATTTACACCGAGATGTTTTTGTCCTGAAAATTAGATGAAGGGAATACTTAATTTGCTACAAAAAGTTAGTTATCTCAAACTGGCAAAATTTTTATGGCAGGTCATGTCTGGTTTTTAGCCAGCTTCCATAGCAAGTGTAAGTTTAGTGTATTGGCCAGTACATGAAGATAAGAAGTTTCATAGCGGCAGAACAAAAAAAAATCATCACCACGCTCTGCAACTGGTGCTGATCAGGAACTGTGACATTTATTACAATGTTCACGATCTGCTTCTGCAGCTCAGTGCCTGTGCTTGTGAAACTAAGTGCTGAGATCTTTGTGGAGATTTGCATGACAGCTGTAAACTCAATGGCTGGTTCAGGTCAGTACAGTCATAGGCACAAAAATCTGTCAATTTGTTAATTAATTAGCATATAATTATTCTGCCATTTATATGATTTTATGACAATTTATGCATTTATATATGTGGGTATATACTCCACTGAGTATTGAGTTCCTTTGAAATAGATGCCATTGTTCAATCTAATTTTTCCATAATCTGTAGGAGTGTGTCCTTACACAGAAAGTATTATACAAGTCTCTACAGTCCAGAACACCAAGAACAATTCTATATTTTAATTTTCAACCTGTGGAATTTTTTTTCTAGTGAATAATCCTTTCATAAAGAAGGATAGAGTCCTAAGAGTGAATGAAATTACTTCCTGATTTTAGAAAAAAAATTTTAGATTTTAGAAACTTGCACAAAAAATAGCCTCTAGACAATGGATCTTTATTTGCCATGAGTCAGTACAGCATGGCAACTTATTGAAGAGTTCATATTAATTGTTAATCTCTGCCTTAACTTGTGTATAATAGATTTCAAAGTAGACTGAACAAAATGTCTTTTTTTTTTTTTTTTAACTGGAATAGGCATCATACTTTTAAAAGTTGAGTTAGAATATATATACAGTTATACATAGCAGTTACTGATGTACCAACTTTTCTATTGATGCATTAACTTTATTAGCTTCAGAGGGAAATAAAAATCATAGGACAGTTCATTTTTTCTCTCTTTCCTGATTTTCTCTCTCAAATACCAGGGACTGCCAGTAATTTTTGCTACACGTGACTGAAACTCCCACCAGAACAGCATAACTGTCATTTCAGTTCAACTAATCTACTTTTCTGTCAGTTCTCTATCCTGAATGGAATCTGAAAGCTTCAACTCTATGTCCTAAGTCACTAATTTCATTTAATGTGCTAGGAGTTTGTATATGTAGCAAACAAATACCAACTTAACTCAAAGCTATTGATTGCTGGAAAACATGGAAGTATTGTCTAAGGGTCATGATGACAATAATGCAAATATATTTAACAAAAACTTATAGTACTGGTAATACCCTCAAAAGCATTAAAGTAGATACTCTTCAGTTAAAATGTATATACTTATATGCTGATATATTTTACATATATGTGTGTGCGTGTTGTGTGTGCCTGTGTGTCTGTGCATAAAAGATATCTTGTACACACCATCTGTCCTGGATTATGCCCCATAAATACTGGAGCTTTCTACTGTTCAGTATTTTGTTTTTTTTAATGGGGAGAAGCAAAACCAGTAACTTTACCACGGTGAAATGATATTCTTTCAAGCACTTAGGAAAGACTCTACAAGTCTACAAGTTGTCCTTTAAACAACTTCTAAAAGCTAAGGATGTCCATAAATTGTCATAGGAATAGGGTCTTATGTGATACAGTTGTCATTGTTTTGTTATATGTATATATTTAATGTACTTCTATTTCATAGTATTGCTTCTAAAAACAGCAAGTGATAAACTAGTTGAAAGAGCAGTCACTTTTTATTGCTGAATTACTGACCATCTCTAAAGATGACTGCATTAGCAAAATCAGCCTGAGGAGTGGTATTTGAATTTCACGGAATGTTGTGATTGTAATAAATAGGATGATGTAACCATACTATCTCATTTACTGAGTCATTCCTGAAATATTTTCACAAGTAAAATATCAACAGAGAGAAACATTTGAAATACAGATATTTCCCTATACACTATACAGATTTTTGTTCTTCAGAAAAATATAATCCTAAATTAAAGATTATTCCACTTTGTGAAATTTTGAAAAGATGAGGAATCATTTTGCTTTATATTGCATTTATTCTATACATCCATAGAGAGCAAATAAAAATTTGAAACTTTCAAATCTCAAAGAGAAAAAGTAGGCAGGAGATTTTGCACCTTCTATGTGATTTTGATGAACAAAGGAAGAACATACTGTTTTTGTCTTCATGCTTTTGAAATGTTTTGGAGGAGTGAATAAGATAATGTATATAGACATCTTGCTGGTCATCAAAAATGATTGCATGACGGTTGTCACGTGCATTCTTTATTAACATGGGTTAGAGTATTAACAATAAAAAGGAGGTGATTTTCCTGGTCTATGGTTCACCTTTAGACCTGGAAATGGATTAAAAAAAACTTGCTTGAAATGATGAATTTAGGGAGCCTGACATATGAATCATAGTGATTAGGAACTCTAAAATATAATTTTTATTTTTGCTAAGGAGGGATACAAGAAAATGCCAAAGATTTGCTGTTCACTTTGAAGCAGAAGGAATCATTCAGAGTTTACTGACAAATCAGTTGTTGAGTGTTTGTTTTGGAAGTCTTTGTAAGGTGGCGTGGGTGGTTTACCCAGTCCTTGTGCTGAAAGCTTCATAAGCTAATCAGAACATGACTGTTTCATTAAGAAGATGTAGTGATGTCTTGTGGTCATTAAGGAATATCAGTGTGATTCTTCATAGGACTTTAAAGTGTGCAATACTTGGGTGAGCTTTCTGATAAAACCTGTGGAGAATGTGCCAGTTGAGTGGTGTGTAACCTCGAGTGTGGAACATGAGAATTTTTATTAAGGAGCAGGGAGAATTATTGAGAAATGTAAGTTGAGTTAAAGAATACACACAGAGGGAGAATAAAAACTTGTCAAGAAAAACATGCTCATACTTGTTATTACTGGGTGTTTCTGATGCAGGGCTCATTGATCTTGGAATGTAGTCACAGCTTGAACCGACAAAAATAGGAGAAAGAGATCAGTAGAAAGGTGTGTTTTTGGCATCTCCTGTGATAAAGAGAAAATGAAAACATTAATTTACCTTTCACTGAAAAATATGATCCATGTGAAGTCTTAAGTTTTTTTCTCATTCCTGTAGGTGAAGCTGATATAGTATCTTTTCCATATAAATATTGTGTTTTCCTGCTTTTTAGAAAGATTATTGCAATTATTGCATCTATTTTTGTTAAACATTTTTCTTGATTTCAGAAAATGCTTATATCCCTTTTACCTGGGAAATCATGAAAATAATGAGATATTGCATTTTGATTAGCAAATGTATTAATATAATGATTAATTATCAGTAGCAGTATGCTTGGTAAAAAATTAAAGAATTTATTTTTCTGAACATAAAAAAATCCAACTTAAAGCAGAATGGCGGTATCAGTAGCCTGGACAGATGTTGTGAAAGATTCCAGAGGAAAGCAGTGTTATAATCGCTCATCATTCTCACAAATCACAGGTGGGTGAGCCCAAGGAATGAGTCACAGGGGCTACCTGCAACACTATTGCTTGTTATACATAGGCAGGCAGCAAAAAATGAGGAACAGTACAGTGAGAATTGGATGACTCAGGGGAATAATAATAGGAGAGTTTAATCTGTCATTAGTTTTGATCTTTTCCAGTTGAGTAATGAGTTGTTAACATCTGATGACTTCTCAGTGCTGCATGTGAAATTACTTGATTGGTTTATCCACTTCAGTACTGGAGATTACCAACCTGAAGCACAAAATGAAATAGAAAGCCCTACTTGGTTTGACAAGAAGCAAAAGCCACAAGGCATAACACTTCGATCATCTGGTGCCTTTGGAGCAAAGTAATATTGCGTTATAGGTAAATAAAAGGATTTTGGAATTTCTGGTTTTGAGAGATTTTTGAGAGTAAATGAGCCATTTTGGACAATCTAGGATTCCCGATCCCAAGTCTTGAATTTTATCGACTTTGTTTTTAACTTCTGTGTCTCCCATGCTGGGTCGATGACAGGTTCTTACCTTGTAGTTCTATCTATTTCTTCATCTCTCTTTTCTTGCATTGTCCTAAAGTGTGATTTAATGATAGAATCATTGCTGATTTCTTTGTTCCAAATGAGCCTCTTGTTACTTGCAAACCAACCCTTCAGTGTTAAAACTGCAAGCTCACTGCCTTGATGAGGTTCCACTCTTAGTGAAATGCTTTGATGAAAAGCTTGCTGTCAGTTCAGCAAGGACAAAAGCTGGATCATTTCCTCTCCTGTGCCCTCTCAGATGGACAGGGACTTGCCATGTTTACAGTTTCATTTTTCAAAGCAGAATTTTGAGAACAAAAAGTTAATAAGCCTCTATTCCCAAATGAATAGTTTGTTTGTTTGAAGTTCTACCACCAGTCTCTTGCATTTGTAATTTTTTCAGAGTGACTGATTTGCATTCAAATGTTCATAATCTTTCCGGAGTGGAGTTTTTTGCTCATGATTTTTAGTCATGAGTAGAAGAGATTGACTATGTGGAGCCATAAGATAGGACACACAGTCATTTCCAAGTATTGACATAATTAAGTGATTAATGAGCGATGGTTTGTATGCTTTACAGAAAACCAAAGTGGGTATTTGAGTGCTGCCTGCATCCATTCACCTTCTGTTTCTGTTTCTTGCCTGTCTTGGCCTTGTGACTGGGATGGTTACTGAGGGTGATCTTAAGCTGCTTAAAACTTGACAGAACTTTTGTATCTTATGGAAAATCAGAAT